CCTGACTAGTCTAGTACCCAACTGGCACCATACATAGTTATTACAATATTATTGACTATATTCCCTATTCTGTACTTTACATCCCCGTGACTATTTCCTAACTACCCATTTTTATTTCTTAACCCCCTCACCTTTTCACCCAGCACCCCAACCCCCCTTCTATCCAGGGTGAAATCTTAATTTCATTTCCGTGACTATAGGAAAGTTGAGCAAATACTTCCTGGCTATTTGTGTTTCTCCTTCTGTAAATCGCCTATTCATATCCTTTGTCCAACTCTCTATAGTTTTTACTGTCTTTTTCTTGTTGATATGCCCTGAGTTTCCTACACAGTCACCAAACTATTCATTTGCTATTGTTTCAGCCATTGAAAATATTTTTTTTTCCAGTTTTTTAACCTTCTGCTAGCTTTGTCTATAAAATTCTTAACTGAACAAACTCCTTAAATTTTATGTGGCCAAGGCTGGAAGACTTGAAAATTTGTAAAGAAGTTCTTTCCATCCCTAATTCTTCTGTAAAATAACTGTTCTAGTCTTTTGCCTACTGGCCTATTAAGATGCTTGTCTTTTTCTTACTGATTTTTAAAATTCTTCATATAGTTCAGATCCTAATCCTTCTAGGGGATGTTAACTCCCCGACACTTCTGTCCTACCCTATGTGAGGGCTGAGCACACTCCTGTGCTTAGGGTAAATTTAAGGTAGGAAGCCATGGACATAGTCGGGATCCATCCACTAAAGCTGAATGTGACCTCTGGGTGGCTTAGGGTGTAGGGGAGGCACTGACAAGATTTGCTATACCCACCGTATTAGTTTCCTATGCCTGCCGTAACAAACCGGGTGGCTTAAAACAATAGAAATCTATTCTCTCACAGAGACGAGGCTAAAGTCCAAAATCGAGAAGTCAGTAGGGTTAAGTTTTTTTGAGGGCTGTGAGGGAGAATCTGTTCTATGCCCGTCTCTTACCTTCTGATGAGACCCAGCAAGCCGTGGCATTCCTTGGCTTGTAGATGCATTGCTCCAAGCTCTGCCTCCATCTTCACATGCTATTCTCCCTGTGTCTCTGAGTCTTCTCATGACCATCTTCTCATACGGACACCAGTCATATTGGATTAGGGGCCACCCTACTCCAGTCTGGCCTCACTCATCTTAACTAATTACATTGACAATGACCCTATTTCCAAATAAGGTCACGTTCTGAGGTCCTGGAGGTTAAGACGTCGATATTTATTTTGGTGGGTGGAACGCAATTCAATTCATGACATCCATCTCCACTATAAACATCTACCCACCATTTAAGACTTGTGGAGGAGGAATACAATTTCCTCTACCTTTATAGGTTCCTCTAGCTGGTTTAATAATTAAATCTACATGAGACAGATTAACAAGAGAAAATAATCAAATTTAATTACATATTATGAATAGGAATCTCACATACACGAGAGAGTCAGAGATCTCACATATATGAGCTGTTCAGAGACAGACAGGAAAAATGGCGTATATATGACATCCTGAGCTAAGGAATGAAGTTAGGCCCCTGAGGCTTCAGAAGGCAGGAAGGTCATTTACAGATCAATAAGAAGAGCAGATGTTCACTGGTTAGATGTGTGCTCTGCCCGATAGATAGGTCATGAAAAGTTATTCCTGGTGTTAACTTTTATTATAGGCAAGGCCCCAAATTTAAATTCTGTAAGGGACAGGTTCAAGTTTCTCTTGAGCCCAATGGGTCTTGATTGCCTCCAACTAAAAATAATCCCCATGCCAAAGTAGCACTTCTTGGGGAGGCCTGTTCTGAACCCTGTCAGACTCCTCCTAGCCTTCTGTCATCTGGGAAGCTTTCTTCAACATATCTAACCCATTACTACTCCAAAACAATTAGTTTTCAGTATTGCCATGGGACCAGTACTTAGTCATATGTTATGGTATTTTATACCTGTCTATTGGCTTGTCTGTCTTCTTCATTAAGGTTTGAGATCTTTAAAGGCAGGTACCAAGTCTCTATCACCTCTGATTCCCCAGTGCCCCCACAGGACCTGGCCCACAGTATTTATAATAATATGAGCTAACACTTGTTGAGCGCTTACCACGTGCCAGCCGCTGTGCTCAGCGGTTTACATGTAGTATCTCACTTGAGCTTCACAATGATCCTAGGAAGTAGTATTTTAGTCTAGATGCCACAGGTTGATAGAAACAAAACTTGAACACGTTTAAGCAAGAAGTGAATTCATTGGCTCAATCAAAAGAAAGTCTAGAAGTGTACCTTCAGGAATGGCTGGATCCAGATGCTCAAAGAGAAATCACGGTTCTTTCTCTTCATCTCTCAGTTCTGCTTCTCTGCCTGGCTTCACTTAGCAAGCAGGCTCTCTCTACTCAGAGGACAAGTAGCTGTTATCAATAATCACATCTTCTTAGCTTAGCAACCACAGAAACTAAAATTCTTATTGACTCAGCAGAAGAGTGAGGTCACTGACTGGCCATCTTGTGTCAATTGCCTATACCTACCAGGGAGTGGCAGCTCACCAGGAAGTCTTCCACTAAAGGAGCCAAAAGAAAATAAATGGAAAACCTCCCTGAGCAGCATAAGACTCTGGTTACCATGAGCCACCGTAGGACAGCATTTAAACAGTGCTGTCCCACTGTTTAAATGAGGAAAGAAAGGCACAGAGTGACGAGCTAACTTGCCTAAGTACCCCACCGGTAATAAGAGGATTTAAACTGATTGTTCTGATGCTAAAGCCTTCATCCTTTGCAGGTCCATTATTCCAGCTCCCCAAAGCGTTCTCTGATGAGCGAGAGCCCAAGATTCAGGTGGAGGCAAACAAACTCAGGTTTGAGATCTATTTCTGATTTCCATGAGCTCAATGTCCTCATCAGTAAAATATGAGTAGTAATATTGCCAGTATCTACCTTGTGGTGAGGATTACATAAAAAAATTCAAATCATGCATTTAGCACAGGCCCTGCACATGGAAAAAGCTAAGTACGAGTGAGCTATTATTATGAGTAACTGTTCATTGAATGAATGAATGTGTGGTGTCTGAGCTCTAACATATGTTTCCCCTCACAGAGTAAAGGCCTGGGACAGGAATGGGGGAGGGCTTTCGGCCCTTGACAATCTCCACCGCCACTCAAAACACCATCCTTGGATATTCCTATTCTTTGAGCTGGGCAATGAACTTTTCCTAATTTTATGTCAAATGGAGATTAAAGCCATGTCATTAATATTAATGATCCATAACTTAGCTCTAAGCAAGTTTCCAGGCCCACTCTAGCCTTCCATCCAGATGGCCTCAAGCCCCTTGTCTAAGGAATTCTAGAGCTACTGCTGGCTGTCAAACTCCATACAGATGGGTTTGCAATGGCTGCAGTCCCCACTTATGATCATTTGCAGGTAAAGAGCTCTGAAGGTGCCAAGGGCCATGATTAGCTTGGAGGTGATTCAAATTCTCCTGGCACTGTGGAACCAAGGAGTCCAGCCTTCTTTCCTGGAGCCTGGTGGGGAGGGGCTGTTGGGGGGCCTGGGCAGTGCAGGGTTTCTCTGACAACCCCGCCTCAGATCCAGGACACTGCTCTAGATGCCTAAGGTACAGAACCAGGAGGAAGATGCGACAGCAGGTGGGAGGAAACCAGCTGCTTCTCTAAGGGTTGGATGTGTGGAAAGAAGGTGGGGAAATCTGAATTGGGGGAAGGTAGGGAGGGGAGGAGGAAATTATGCAAACTTTGCTGAACTCTATCTACAGAGACCCAGCTAGGGTCTCTACGTGGCTGAGAGTTCCAGGTACAGGACACAGAGATGCTGGGCTGCAAAGCCCAGAGATGTCAGCACGCAGAACATGGAGATACTGCCTATGCCCTTCCTTTTCTCCCTTCTTCTCCCTCACCCAAGACCTCAGAGAAGCCACTGATTCACTCCTACTTGTTTCGGGGGTCTAGGGACCTTTGGATGCCTCTGGACACCCTAACTGGTATTATGCCCTTCCTATGTGATCCTGGCCAAAGCACTTAATGTCAATAACCCAACGTGCATGAAGTCACAAAGGGTGCTCACGTCATGACGTCCCAGAATCCTCCAACCATGTTCACTGTACACACATTATCTCATTTGACCCTAGTGACCACTCTGCGAAATGCTGTTAGTGCACCTATTTTACGGATGAGGAAACTGAGGCTTAGAGAGGCGGTACTAACTTCCCAAGGTCATAAGGCTAATTAATGACAGAACTGGGACTCACATCAGGGTCTGCTAACCGCCAAAGCTCAAGCTCTTCTATGATGCCAGGATGTAGAACAGAGATATCACTGTCGGCACCCTAGAGATGAAAGAACTGGCTCTGAGAGGTCAAGTAACCAGCTAACAGTTTTACAGATGGAGCGTGGCAGAGCCATGATGTGAATCCATTTCTTTTACAGCCAACCCAATGTCTATTTTGCCTGAGTAGATGATCTCAGAGGTTCCCTCCATCTTTTTAATTCTGGGTTGAGACAGGGAAGAGTTGGAAGAACAGGTGAAAATAAAGAAGTAACGTGGTTTTACTGCTGTGCCTCACATTCCTTGACTCGAGAAGCCAGTGTGGCTGCCCCAGCTCTGCCCTGTCGGCCTCATCCCTTCTCTCAGTGACGGAGAGAAAAAGTTATTCAACAAACAGGGTTTTCAACCCTTGGAGCTTGGACTTCCCAGATCTCACACTGACTCCACCCAGTAACTTCTTCCCTAAGGAGTGTGTGCCCACAGTGCCTACACAGGGTCACCCATCCCTGGACCCGCCCACCTATCGGTGTGTCAGCAGTGAACGTGGTCCCCAAGGAAGAGTGTGGAACTCACGTGGGCACCGTCACATCCTTCCACACTGGGACACACACCGCACCGTCTGACCCTAAACCAGGGGGGCTCCTCTCACTGCTGGCCCCGCCCAGCAGCCCCGCAGGCCCACACCTGGGATCCGCCCCTCAGGGCACACCCCCGGGGAGGAGCTGCAGTCCGAGAAGTCCCAGCCCAGCCTGGCTGAGAGCGCCCGTTTCTGCTCCTCAGGTGACCCTGGGGGACCAACATGGCCCCAAAGCGTCCTTCCTGCGCCCTGAAGCCCGAGCAAGTCCAGCAGCTGCTGCTCTCCTCCCAGGAGGCCAAGAAATTCGCCTACTGCCCTTACAGCCACTTCCCTGTGGGGGCAGCGGTCCTCACCAGGTCCGGGAGAATCTTCTCGGGTAAGGACACGGGCAGACGCCCCGGAGGGGCCCCTCCGCAACAGACAGCACGGTGGGGAGGTCAGAGGAAGATAAGCAGGAAGGGCGGGAGTGCACAGGCAGAGTAGAGCTCAGCTCTGTCCCCTCTTGGCTGTCCCCAAGCCCCAGTATCCCCATTGGCCCCTGCCCTGCCCAGCATCCCAGACTCCCAGACGGTACTGCTCCAATCTAGGGGCTTTCAGTTCTTGGAGGACTGGGAAGCCCAGTCTCAATTATGTGTTAGGTAATGTACTAGGTGCTGAGGATATTGCTATAAAAAGAAATGGCATAGTCCCTGCCCCCATGGAAGTCCTCTCCTCTTACACAGGCCATGCCTTCCCCTCTGCAGGACAGGAAAGAAGTTGGAAGAGGAAGTCACAAATCAAGAGCATCAGCTGTCCTCTGTACTGGGAGGGAGAGGGCTGGTACTTTCTGAGCCCTCCTCTGGGTCCCACACCTGCGGAGGCTTCTGCACGTTATGTCAGCAAGTCCTCACCTCAGGCCCACTGACCTAGGTGTTATGGCCATTTCTCAATGAAGAAGACTCAGAGAGGTGACATGACTTGCTCAAGGTCACATGGGACACTGGAGGTGGAACCCAGGGCTGGGGTCCCCAAAACCCTGCATTTTTCCTGTCACTCACCATGCCAGGGGATGGCTGGGGAAGAAAGCAAGGAATCCAAGTGAGGTGACTTGTCAGTGGGTTATGCAGAGGGTCTTGAAGGAAAGGACAGGTGGGGTTTGAGTGACCAGTGATGAATGCCAGCCTGAGAAGGTAGGGACAGGAATCTGCGTTGGCACTAATCTGTCCGGAAGCAATTTTTCTTTGATTTGTTGGTTTTTGTAGAAAAGCTCACTTGAACAAAAATTCGAACTTGTTTTTGCTAAGCTAGGGGTGTTCTTTTTCAGGGTAGTGGGGAAGGTGGTGAGGAAGTGATAGGGAGGCCATGCCCTCCCCAGCTGTCTCGTTTCTACCACCACCCCAGGGGCAGATGAGAATTGGCACAGAGGGACAGATAGGCATGCCCAGCTGCCTAATATCCCCCTTCCACTTAGCGCAGCTATTTCAAGGACCAGAGGCCCACATCACGTGTACACCTAATTGGTAACCCCCTAGCAGGCCTGGGCCAGGTACTGCTCACCCCCTCCACTGCTCAGCTGTAAGTCCACCTGGGGGCCCATGCCTCCCCCTCTGTAGTGTCCCTCCTGGGTTCCCCTTGATATTCACATTATTTCTTATCTTTTGAGGTTCTGCACGGGTTTAATGAGTTACCTGGGTCTTAAACATCTTCGAGCAGGAGAAGTAACCTTGAGTTAGGGCTGGTAGGTGAAAAGACCCTGACTAATGTCATCCATCTCACCCTTACAACCCTGCAAGGGAGTTATTATAGAGCCACTTTGCAGAGAAGGAAGCGGAAGCTCAGAGAGGTTAAATGCCCGAGATCACAGAGCTGGGATTCGAACCCAGAGCTCCCCAGACTCCCAAGTCTGATACTCTGTGGACAAGTAAAGAATCTCTGGAAGTCATGTGGAAATTTAGGCTGGCCTGGTGGCTCAGATGAGTATTAAACATTAACCACCACCGCAAACAACATTGCAACCCACGTTGCCCGTGGCATCAGGGCCTTGAACATGGAATGAGCCATCGATTCTTTCCAATGCCTCCACATCCCCTCTTCATCCCTGCATTGATTCATTTATTCAACAAATATTTGCCAAGTACCAATTATGTGTTAGGTAATGTACTAGAGGCTGAGGATATTGCTATAAAAAGAAATGGCATAGTCCCTGCCCCCATGGAAGTCCCCTCCTCTTCGGCCATGGCTCAAAGCCAAAGCCTCGACCAGTGATTGTAGGAGTGAATGAATAAGGGGAGCAGGAGTGTAGCCCATTTAAGTTGCAGGGAAGGACCTAGTGTCACAAGAGAAAGGGTCGTGCCATGAGGATTTAGGGAGGCCCTCTGGGATGGGCTGAGGCTCTAGAGTTAGAGGCTCCTCCTGAGTTTGAATCCTGGTGCTGCTGTTGTCCAGCTGGGTGTCCCTGGGCAAACCTGTGGCCTTCTGAGTGTCAGCTTACGTTTATAAATGTGGGATCATAACACCTGTGAACAGAGCTAGTTTGCCTGGCCCGGCGTGGCAGCCAAATTCCTCCCTGATGGCTGGTGCCCATGCTGCATCAGTCACTGAATGTGTTGACTCTCACCCCTGAATGTGAGGCTTTAAAGGAGCTAATGCCTGTGAAGTGATCGGCCCACAATGAGAATGTCGCAAATGGTGGCTGCTTCTACTGCTACTATTAATGGTATGATGATAATGATGACATGATGATTTGGAGGCAGATTGTGCAGGACTTTTGAAGGCCAAGCAGAGACATTGAGATTTGATGAGGTCGGACATAGGAAGTTAAGGAATATTATTAAGGAGCAGAGTAACGTGAAGCTGGTGCTTGAAGACAATCGGTCTGACAGGTACTCAAGAATGAGTGTCACAGGACAATGTCTATCTTGTTTGCCTGGCCTGGAATAGGTCCTCAGGTAAGGTTCAGTGAACATGTGAATTAATGGCTCAGACTAAACAGTACCAGGTGGAATGAAGAGGAAAGGAAGATCAGAGAGCTATTGTGTGGGACAAATGGATCAGGCCTGGGATGCGCAGTATTAGAAATAAAGGAAGGAAATGTGGTTCTAAGATTTCCAGCCAGGCGGGCCAGGGGATAGGTGAGGCACTGACTGAGGTAGGAGGCTGAAGGCAGAGCTGGACAATGCTGGGGACATGGTGGGCAGGACTAACAGCAATGTTAATAGACAATCGATTGAGCAGTCACTAAGCACGTAGTAGGCAAGATCTCTTATAATCTCATAGCCACCCCACGGACAATGAGTGCCACATGCATTAGTCAGAACACTTTCAGTTATAAATGACACAAGCCAACCAGAGCCATAATAGGCAATGACATATCTTGTCTTGGGGACAGCTGGATCAAGAACTCAAATGTCATCATGCCCTTCTTTAACCTTTTGAGTGCAGGTGGTTTCCCTCTAGGTATCAAGGGCCAGGAGTGCAAGCAGACTCTAGTTAACATTCTCACAGCCTCAAAAGCAGAAAGAACTCCTCCCCACTAGCTTGAGATGGAAAAATCCCAGGGAATCGCTCTGATTGGTCCATTTCTGATCACATGCACATCCTGGGGCCAATCACTGTTGTCATAATAGGGTAGTGTGACTCGGCCAGCTGCTTCACATATCTCTCCTCTGTAGGGGGGTGGGAATCTGTTACCACAAAAAAAGTGTGGAGGTGCCAAGCAGACCAAACCAATGGCCAAACACACCACATTTTATAAATGAAACAACTAAGACTCAATTTTATCAAATTCTAAATGCCATGCTCTTTCTGCTGCCCCTTGCTGCACGGTGGATCTGCAGAACGGGGCAGAGAGTTGTGCTGAGGAGAGGTGGACAAATGGAGGGCATTTTTCAGAATCCCTGGATCTTCTTCTTGGGATATAAAGGGAGGGTGGATGGCAGTAAGGCAGGGCTTGGCCAGCAGGGGACTTTGAACAACCAGAGGAAACTTGATAGAACATCGGGGTGAATTAGAGAGAATTAGGGGGAAGAGAGGGCACAGTTGAATTTAGACACTGCGAGTTTATAGCTTATCGTGGGACAGGTCCGCCCAGTTCTGTGACTTTCTCCAGTTGCACAAAAGACCAGCCTGAGGAATTTCCGCCCTCGGAGGCAGCTGGTGTCCCGTCCAATTCAAAAGCAAGTCTGGCTGCAAAGACAGCCTTGCTGTCATGATCTTGTGATAATGTTCTTTTCTCTCTATTACCCCCAGCCTTGGCCCCTTGCAGATGCCACCAGGAAGGATGGTAATTAGTGCTGAGGGAA